TATAGATATATATATATATATATATATATATATATATATATATATATATATATATATATATATATATATATATATATATATATATATATATATATATATACTATAGGGAAGAAGGGAATCACTGTTTGGGAATCAGGAATTATATATATATATATATATATATATATATATATATATATATATTAATATATATTTGTGTGTGTGTATATATATATATAATATACAATACATATATACAAGTACACATGTGATCGAGACATACACATTCACATACGTACACACGTGTTCGTTAACAAACAAGATAACCACCTGCAAGCAATAGAGCTAAAAAGAAATTTCATATAAACTATATATACGCAAACATGTGGTCGACACATACACATATACATACGCACACTTTTGGTCATCAGATATTCATAAATATGTATAAAATTGTTTTAATTGTTATAATTGTAATTTATTACTGTTGTTTTAATACTTTTTAGAGCTTTTTGGATTTTTATTTTGTTTTGTAATAGAAACGTTCTTAATATTTGCTTTTTATTGAAAAAAATTTTGTTTTTGGTGTTCAAAAATGTTCTAAATAGAAAAAAAGGTGAATGGAAAAGAACGGGTGGGAGAACGCAAGAATGAGTTGGAAAAATGGAAAATGTGAATTCTCTGGAACGTTGTTTCAAATGGAAATTCGGGAGGGAATCGGGAATGACAAACGAAAAATGGGAGGGAATTGGGAACAAATATCCATACCCGCTCACCTCTAGCCTGCACGCTCAACATCTTCGTAGATGCGTCTGCTGCTTGTAACTGTGAAATTATTTTTAATTTGTCATTTTGTTCTTTGAAAAACACAAAAATTTTGAAAAATTAAAAAAAATTTTTTTAAACTGATAAAAAATAATTTATAATAGATAAAGAGAGGTTTTGCTTCTTGGCTGATTTGTGATGTATATCAACAAAATTTTAATAAAATAAGTATATTTTTTGACAGCATAATTTTCAAATATAACTCGAGGGCCATTGATTTCAACGACCATTAATCACAATTTCTTTCAACCTGATGGCTCTTCTTAGGACAGCTACAATTTATCGGTCAAAAATGAATCATTTTACAACAGCGTTGCGGGCAATTTTCAAAACGAAATAAATACAAAGAAGCATTTGGACGCCATTCGTTCTTTTATTCCAACCGAAGTTTTGTTTGAATGAGAATGAGTGGCTTCAACTTTTGCAAAGACTGCACCGTTCCTTTGTAAAAGGATGCATCCGATTGAGATTGTCACAAACGCACTTACGCTCACATACACTTAAACGATATTAGCGAGCATAGCTGGAAAGATAAGATTTTACAGCACTTTGATGGATCGCGTTTTGATGCAGTTTGTTCTTCCGCTTATTAAATACCTCCTACCTACCAGTTCTTTTTCATGCTTTGCATTTTGCGATGTCATAATTTTGAAGACTGCATCGCCAACTACTGCCGGCTGTTTGTTGTTGTGTGGAATAATGCGGTGGTGTGTGACGACGCGCTACGTTTTCGTGTGGTTGTCTCGTGGAGAGAGGTTTCTATTTATAAAAAATTAAATTATTATTTTCGTTCCTAAGTCTGAATTCTTCATTAAACTACTCTAATGCGTGATAACGAATTTTGAGCACGAAAAACAGCAGAGTGTCGTCAATATTCTACATGTGGTCACTTTTTATTGTTTTCTTGGTGATGCGTAATTTGTATGAAAACACTTTCAGATATATTAATTTGAATAAAAACTTTTAATTAGTTGTTTCAAATTGTTTAAGGCTAAACTACATTTTAAAAAATAAATATTTTCTGTGGAGGTTTACAAAATCCAACCCAAGGTTTGTGTTGAAGGACATAGCAGGAATTACGTTTTATCTCTTTGAAAATTTGCTTTACGAGCTACACAGACTAGTGCCAATTTATTTGTTTCACAAATAAATGAGCTTTTACATAAAGTTGATAACAATCAAATGTGCCATTCTTATCCAACACCAAAAAAAATTTTAGAAGCTGTACCTAAGTTCTAATGCAAAATGTTCAAAACATATTTTTAAAAAAGAGTTACATCTAAAAACTGAAGCATTCGTGTGTTTCAAGTAAAAATTATTGTTTCTAAAATGTTCAAAGCTGACATCGTTAATTCAGCATTAATGCATGCAACATTCACACTGATGCATGCAACATCCACACTGATGCCTGCAACATCCACACTGATGCCTGCAACATCCACACTGATGCCTGCAACATCCACACTGATGCCTGCAACATCCACACTGATGCCTGCAACATCCACATTGGTGCCTGCAACATACACACTGATGCCTGCAACATCCACATTGGTGCCTGCAACATCCACACTGATGCCTGCAAAATCCACATTGGTGCCTGCAACATACACACTGATGCCTGCAACATCCATATTGGTGCCTGCAACATACACACTGATGCCTGCAACATACACACTGATGCCTGCAACATCCACATTGGTGCATGCAACATCCACACTGATGCCTGCAACATCCACACTGATGCCTGCAACATCTACACTGATGCCTGCAACATCCACACTGATGCCTGCAGCATCCACATTGGTGCCTGCAACATATTCACTGATGCCTGCAACATCCACATTGGTGCCTGCAACATCCACACTGATGCCTGCAACATCCACACTGATGCCTGCAACATCCACATTAAAAATAATGAATGTGTTTGTATGCGGTTAAGTTTGTTTGCATAAACGCAATAAAACAACTCTAACAGGGTTCGGCGTGTTTCGTTTTTCTGCTGCGCTGAATGGAAGCGAACGTGCGTGTGTTCGAGGTTGCGTTCGGTTGAACTTGTTGCTCAATCTTCTCTTCGCAAAATTTGCATTGTCTGGCCGGTTAATTGACGCAAACTTTCAATTAATTCATGAATTATTTTAAACTGCAATAGTTACAAAATGTTTTCTTTATTTTGAACATACACAAGCAGATTAAACAAATTTTAAGCAATTATATTTTTGAACATTCACTGCAGTTCTTAATTTCATCATTATTTTATGGTCTGTTGTGTATTAAAAATTTTAAACAATAATTTCTTTATAAAATATTAACAACAAATGAATAATATGAAAAACAACAAACTATTTTCAGAATATTTCAAAGGTAGATGTGATGGATCGAGGTCAGTTCGGTTGAATCCAATTGAATGAAGAAAGAAAAACAACTGATGTCCCAGTTCTCCGTTTGACATTTTATAACTTTAAAAATTTTGAAAAGTCTTCAAAGACCCACAAAAACGAAATGTAAGTGTCATCGTCAACAGCATTAACAGGTGTCCACAACAAACACCACATTCAACAGTAAGAACAACAAAACAACAAACCAACGAAACAACAAAACAACAAACAACTAATGAAATTAACGAACAGCAGAAGAGAGAGGAGATGTTTTTTACACCGTGCAACACGCGCCAAACTTAACAAGTGTCTGACGCCGCACAGATTGAGGTCACGCAGCGAATACTCAACAACAACTTATTTATACAAATACATTCAACCTAACTGATGTGTAATGTTTTTATTTCCTTATTGGCATGCGTGTTGTCTGTCCGTTTTGTGTGTATTTGCTAAGATATACGTCCGCGTCATCAGTTATGCAAGCCTACTTGCAACAAATTATCATATATCTGTGTTAACTTTGTGAATAAATAATTAATAAAATAATTTTTAAAATAATTACAAGCGCACACTTGTGATTTGTAATTCTGCAAAATATTTCTGGCTGTGTCATCACAAATGTTCTTGTAATGTTACCGTAGTTAAGAAGTGAGGTTTGTTAAAATATTTTGAGATGAAATTCTTCGTGAACTCATTGAAACAGTTGGGTGGTAGATTTAATTTTGTTCGGTTTGAAGGTTGTTTTTATTTCGGCATTGTTGTAGGTTTTGGTGTGGCGTGCCATAGTTTAAAATTCATAAGTCTTCAACACACGAGCGATTTAAAACGACACTGATGTTATGATGGCTTGGAACATGCAACGAACCATCGACAACGACATCTTACATGGTTCTCTTGGTGAATTTAAATATTTGTGTTGAAAATTAAATTTTGAATTTTCAAATGTGAAGAAAAATGATATACTGGTTGGTTAGTTTCATTCCAGTTTTGGTGTTTAAATTTTTTCGTTTGGATAATTTTCGAAATTCAACTTTTCATAATACAAAAAACCAGTTTATGCCTACTTTTTTACTTTATTTAATTTAATAATAGCTATATTATAATCAAAAAAAAATCATTGAATACAAAGACTGAATTTATTTAAATTATGGGTGCTTATGCATATTTGTTGTAACATTATTCAGTCAGTCTGTATGATGATGAAATAAATGATTTTTCCTGTGAACATGTCTGACTTAATAGATTGTTGATTATTTGAACAAAAACAAAACATGCATGGCTGTTGCTCCTTGGAGGATCGCGTGTTCGTTCGTTCAGTCAGTTTTCAGTTGCGCAAACTGAAAGAAAAATTTAATGTAACGTTGATGAATTATGTGCTTCGTGTTACAGTCTGCTTCTGACATCACATTACATTAAAGGTCCAATGTTTTGAGTGTTGTTGTGTTTTTGTGTGTGCGTGCGTGTATTTGGTTTTTTTTTGTTTGCATGTTTGTTTGCGTGTTCGTCTGTTCGTTTTTTTGCTCGATCGTTAGTTTTTTAGTCTTTGCTGATGCACCGGTTGAAAATGTTTATACATTTACATTGGAAGTTTACTGGATGATGTTGTGAAGAAGGGCTGGGTGAAGATGATGTTGAGAAAGATGATGGTGTTGATGTTGAAAATGATGAAGATGATGTTGAAGAAGATGATGATGTTGATGATGTCTGATGATTCATGTCTGGATCCTTTGGAATCATTGAATTCGTTGTTTGGTGGTTAAATATAGAAGTGTTCAATTGTATAAATTATTCTAACCGTGAAAATACAAACATGCATGCACACACAGAAACACACTCACGGGCACATAGTTATATAAATATATAACTATATATATATATATATATATATATATATATATAAACATATATGTTATAATAACATGATTACCTAATTATTTGACTTGTTGACATGATGTTTCAAAGGGTCATACTTATTTTTTATTTTCATTTATTTATTATATTGTTGTTTGTTTTAATGACCACCATGATGATGATCAGGTTTGTAAGAGCACCATTGCAAAGTGGCCATCTTCAAATGCACTTTCATCGAATGAACATCGTGTCACCATTACGTTGTTAACCTGTATCATAAAAATACCTCATCCAATACCGTGTTTCTTTTACAATACACTCTTCAAGTTGAAACTTTTTAAGATAATATAATGCCAACATGTGTTAAAAAATTTTGAAATATTCAATTTGAAACAATTGACGAGGAGTGAAAAAAAAATTCCTAGAGGTGGGTCTGCTGTGAGTGAACCTCATTTTATGGGTGAACCAATTTTGGGTGTATGCGAGGGGTGGGGTGTCGGTTGGTGGCGTTGGCGGTCGGTTGGTGTGTCCGTCTCGGTCCTACCCCTTCCTGGCTCCTTTGGACTCCGACGGCTTGAAAAATGTCGGTCTGTGAACTTTTCAGGTTGCCAAGTAATGGCCAAGCAGGATCACCTCAGACTTTCACTAAAGTCTGAGGTGATCCTGCGCTGGTGCTTCGAAGCGGCTTCTTAAATTATTTTTTTTGCTGGTAGTGGCTTTGGAGTAGTCTAATGCAAGTCAAAACATTTAAACCAAATTTTAAAAAATAAAATAATTAAATAAATATAGGTGCATGAATAAATAAATAGATGATGATATGAAGGAATAAGTATTGATAGTAGATAAGTAATTAAATAAAAATAATAATAAAGTTTAATTAGCAAGCAATAAATAGTTAAACACGAACAGGTTATTTTGATTTCAACAAATCACACCAGAGCACCTTCATGGTAACTGCAATCCCTTTAAAAAAGAACACATAATAATAATAATAACTAAAACAAAATAATAATAAATATCAAATAGAAAGATATTAGCTGCACTTTTATAGCAATTGAATTATTTAATTTCAATAAAAAAAATTTATTATGAAATGATCAGTAACAGATAACAAATCAAATTATCTTGTCTTTAGACTAAAACATCAAATGTTAAAACATCCGTCATTGAACATTTTATGGACGGTAAGCAGTAACAGCAACGTTATAGGAGCAAGAACATAAATAAAAAGAGAAGAATGGAAGAATTAATTGAAAGTTTGCTGGGTCGGCCCTTGCTAATCCTCCGTCAACCTGCTAAACGTGATTCAATTATGACCATCGCAAAGAGGAGGACACGCCATGTTCAAACAGAAGTAAAATACATGTATGCATGTTTACTTTTATATCAAACGATTTAAATCTTTGTACGAATCTTTAAATATATTATAAGAAATAATTTTTTAAAGTTTGAAAGAAAATCTTTTTTCACAAATTCTGACAACATTTAGATGCATTAAAATGTATATTATTATTATTTCAACCAACAAAATGATCAAACGAAACAGCGATGAAAGAAAGATTAAAGAAAATAACAACGAATCTGAAGACGATGATGATTGGATGACGATGATGCTGGTGAATGTTATGAGAGTGATATTATCTGATGACTGTGGATGATGTGGCAGCTGTTGATGATAGAAGGATGATGACTGGAAACGGAGTTACGATAAAACATAAGATGGATTTGTTTGTGTGTTAATAACATGATAATGATAATGAAGATGATGAAACGATGAGGACGATGATGATGACATGATGATGTATGTAACAAAAAACTTTGGTGATCAATTGTGATGGAAACGAGAATAAATTAAAAATTTTGTTAAAATTTAAAATGGATAGTTCTAAATAATGTTGGTGATGTTGAATATATAAATGAAGAATTTGAACTCGTTGATGGTCAATAAAGGGGTGAGGATTGTTGTCATTAAGGATTGTAAATCTCTGATTGCGATTATTTGTGAATCTAATTATCATTTCATCACATAAAACAAAAAGTGAAGTAAAATGAAATGAAATAAAATGAGAGAGAAGGAACGAGGTCCTGTATAGTCAAGAGAAGACCGCCATTCAACAGAATATTTTTTCAAAAAAAAAATAATAAATTACAAATTAATTTTTTATCCAACTATTTTACATTTTTAGAGCTGGCTCAATTTTACCATCTTATAAAAAAAACTTATAAAGGATGCCCACTAATGAGGTCTTTGAAGTGTGGAAATTGCACGTGTAAATACGTTTGTAATGACAACAATATTTTGTACACAATATAGAATGAATAGATAAACAAATGAATAACAAATTATTAAAAATTGTTGAGAAATAAATAACAAACAAATAAATAGAAACATTAATCTTAATATTTTGTGTGGTTTAATTGTTCCCTCTATCTTTGGACCGCGGCAATGTAAGTTAGTTTTAATCAGTTACGTAAGAAATCTGGAAGAAGATGACTGTTAAATGTGGAACGAATTGATATTTTGTTTAATAACCTTCAAATTTTAAGTAGAGAAGTGTTAATGATTGGTTGGAGAGAGGGTGGGTTGGACTTGGATGGAATGATTACCAGGAAGTAGTTAGAGTCGCAAGTTGAAATTCTTCATTGATAATATAACTTTAAATGAGATTCCAACTATTAAAAATTAAATAAACAAATGTGATATGACAACGATGACATGATGTCGTTGTTGTTGAGGATGATGATAATGATGCTACTGCTGATGATGGTGATATGATAATGATCTGATGGTGATAGGACGATGTTGATTACAAAGACTAAAGAACAACATTCAACACGACCATGACGAGGAATTGGATGAAGATGGTAGCTTAAATGAGGCTTATCACAATAATGACTGCATTTGTAATAAAAATACAAAAACGATGATGAATTACTAAAACAAGATGATGATGAGGATGATAACGATGATGATGATGATGATAACGATGATGATGACGACGATGATGATGATAATGTTCATGATGATGCTGATGACGACCTTAGTGAATGAAAGAATCTGTGCTCAAATAATCACTAGAGTAAATCTGCAACTTATATCAGCGATCGTCCGGATGGATGCCTGCTGCTTCCTTGCAGTCCTCGTAGCTTTCATAGAACACATTTTATCTATCTACCCATCCATTCTATTCGTGTATCAATCTATTTGCTGACATATCTATCT